AGAGGGCGTTTTTCCAAAGATCGTGGTATAACGCTGATTTCTGCGCCCGTATCGACCAAAAAGTGAAGTTTAGTCGTGGAATCAAATACGTACAGGAGGCGACTGATAAGTTGGCCAGCGGCAGCCGTCGCCATTACTGGCTGGCTTCGACGTTTCCCGATTTGGAAGTAGCAAAGCCTTTGGGTGAGTGCACCCTGGGCGGCAGTTTCGTGCAGCATTACCAAACCGGTTATGGAAGTAGCAATAGGCGCGCGATGATCGTCTGCGAGAGTTGCTGCGAGGCCTGCTTGTGGAAGAGGATCTTTGGTACGGTGTTCGAGCGCGGGCTAGGTGGGAAATGCTGAGTTCTAACTTGGAGAGCCTCTCGCTAAGGGAGTCGAGTGTGGCAGTCCCTGAAGTGCTCGTCGTGGACGCCTCAACCACTTGATTCACGGCGTTTTTAAAGAAATTTTCGTGTACCTTATCGGCCGCTTCCGCCAGCTTAGTCAGTGGAACGTCCTCAGCCATTACAGCTAGTATCGCCGTCGTGTTAGCGGGAAGACACTTAAGCCAGAGTTGGCGAAGGATGGAATCATCCAAGGTTGCTGAACCGACTAGTGATCGCATATGTCGCAGGAGCTGAGACGGTGTACGATCACCAAGCTCGACGCCGGAGAGTAGCTGTTGGAGGCGTGACTCGTCGGATGAGGTAGTGCGTTTTAAGATGGCTGCCTTAAGTATATCATAAGGTGAGTCAGTCGGCATAGGATCGAGGATATCAATGACCTCCGAAGCCACATGTGTAGGTAAATGAGCAGTAACGTAAGAAAACATTGTGGATTGCGAAGTAATCTTACGAAAACGAAAGATAGATTCAACTTGAATAAACCAGACACGTAGGTTCGACACATCGAAGGATGGCAAAGAAAATGTAACGGAGTTTTCGGATAGCTGTTCACAAGAAGGTTGAACCTACATAATGAAGAAAAAAAAGGTATTCAAAAAATTACGGGGTCACCAATTACGTAGAGGACCGTTACCTACTGAGTTCTAGTGATGGGGCAAAATGCAATCTTAAGCAAGAACACAAAATAGAGGAAAATCAATGCACTTGCGTTATAGCTCCTTCTTCAATCGATGATAGTCCGATGCCGACCAGAGATGCTAACCTATAATCCGAGTAATGGATAGACGCGGCAGCAACACAATCACAAGCAGCAGCAAAACCGAAAGCAGCACGACGCGAGCGCATAGAAAAAGTTATATTCAAAAGTTGTGAATTTAAACAAATGGTACAAGGTGATCGGTAACGGAAAGGATAAAAACAAAGATAGATTACCGTGTAATTACAACCAGCCCTCTTCAAATTCGGGGGACCTGCTCTAGTAGATGATCTACACGAGTTGCTAGTAAGACTTTGGGAGCAGGAGACAGTCCCGACAGACTGGAACCGCTCCGTCATTGTCCCAATTGTCAAGGGAGGCTCTCGTTTGCAATGCGGCAATCATAGAGGGATCAGTCTGATTTCGATTGCCTCTAAATTGCTTGCCTCTGTCATTCTCCACAGACTGACTGGCACTCGTGAAAGCCAGATTCGTGAAGAGCAAGCCGGATTTCGTCGAGGTCGGGGCTGCATCGACCACATCTTCACATTGCGTCAAGTGTTGGAGCACCGCCATGTTTATTGGCGACCCACCGTTGTCGTGTTTCTTGACATAAAAGGTGCCTTCGATTCAGTCGATCGATGTGCCCTTTGGGACTGTCTGCTGAGGAAAGGTGTGCCTGATAAATATGTAAACATTATCAAAGCACTGTACGCGCATAGTTCGGGCAGGGTGAGGGTTTATGGCAAATTCTCGCCACCCTTCAGTATCATCAGCGGCGTGAGACAAGGATGCCCGCTGTCACCTTTCCTCTTCAACTTCGCTATTGATGAAGTCATAGAAATAGCGTTCGCTGGACACGACCTAGAAGGTGTGGAGCTACTTCCTGGTGAGCGACTTCTTGACTTGGAGTATGCGGACGATATTGCCCTAATCTGTGACAGCCTCCAAACATGCCAAAGAGCACTGGACCGATTAGCACTGGCTGTCAGTCGTTTTGGGCTATGCTTTGTTCCATCGAAATGCAAAGTACTTCTCCAAGATTGGCAGGGACCCAACCCTGCGCTAACACTTGGTGGTGATCTGCTAGAAGTCGTTCAGGAATTCAAGTACCTGGGAAGCTATATTAGCACCCGTGGGATTGAAGATGAGGTTACGAACCGCATAGCAAAACCTCGAGGTGTTTTTGCCAATCTCCGCCACCTGTGACGCAGACGCGACATTACTCTCGCCCTGAAAGGCAGAGTTTACAACGCAGCCGTCCGTTCTACTCTCTTATATGGTTGTGAAACCTGGCCCATCAGGTCGACTGACATAAAGCGACTCGTCACATTCGATCATCGCTGCCTTCGCAGCTTAGCTCATGTCTGGTGGGAACACCGCGTGAGCAATGAGCGTGCTCGGTGTCGCGTATTTGGTGCAGGAAGAGCGAGTGAACCGCTCAGCACCATTATATTACGCACCAGGCTCCGATGGCTGGGCCACGTGTTGCGCATGCCAGCACACCGACTTCCGCGACGTGTATTGTTTGCGCGTTGTGGGTGCGGTTGGAAGAAGAGGAGGGGAGGCCAAGTGATGACTTGGTCGAGAGGAATGAAAACCCTTTCATCGAAGTTGGCGTCGGTTGGTGCATCCCGACTTCCTGGCTTGGGTCCTAAGGATGGTGAACACGTTTGGTTGGACACACTTGCTGATATGGCTTGGAGCCGGCCCCAATGGCGTTTGTGTTGTGAGTTCCTTTGCCCATCCCTCTCCTGTTTAGTATCCCCTTCCAATCACGATCTCACCTGTTAGGCATAATATGATTCTCTTTTTACGGCAGCAAGCTGTTAGCTCTCCGGAACTATGTCCATCCGTTACTGGGGACTCAGCGGGCTTGCCACTGTTTGTCACTGTTTTCCTTTTATTTTGTATTGCGGCACAATAGCTGAGGTGTTTTCCACCTCCAGCTAACGTGTAATGATGACGATGATGATGGGATATCAGCCTGACAGTGATAGGTAGGGTGTATAACGCTGCGGTAAGGCCAGTCTGACTGTATGGATCAGTGACGTGGTCAGTTCGCAATGAAGACATTACACGCTTGGCCATGTTTGGCCACTGGTGCTTGCGAAGTTTTGCTCACATTTGTTGTGTACACCGGGTGATTAATGCTGAGGTCCGCCAGTTGATTTTGACATGAAGCGTTCTGATGCTTTACTTAAGTATTGGCTGGGTCTTAACCGCTTGCGTTGTCTTGATCATGTGCTTCATATGCCCGTTGACCTACTTCCTTCTCTTGTGTTATACGCTTTGGCCGCACCAAGTTGGGCGAAACCGCGATGTGGGCAGTCGATGACGGGGCATAAGCGCATTGTGTGAAATTCACCATGCATGCCGTCTTCGTGTATGGGTCGGCATTTTCCACACCTGTGGTTGGAGACCTATTCAGACATGGCGCGATTGCGCTTTCAGGGGCGATACTGCATTCGATTTCTTTCATCTTGCGGTTACTTATTATTTCATTTTGATTTGTTTAACGCGCCCCCTTGATTCCATTTTTTTAAAATTCACATCTCATTCAACCTTTTCTTATCTTTGTTATTTCTTGTTAATTTGGCGACACGAATCGTGGCATGTAGATCCACCGCAGTTCGTTGTTCGGATTATAGTTATTCAATTGAATTGAACTGAACCACAAACAAACAGCTTCTAGCGTCATTTCTTGAACCACCCTTGTTTGATGCCGTCAAACGGGCTGCACACAATCGGCAAGTCACGGGAATCCAATCAACTTTCGCTGATTCAGCCTTGGATATGCGAATGATGCCCACCTTGGCTTTCCCAATGATTACCGCATCAGCGTGTAACCAACAGTGATAGGACAAATCGAGTGCAGTGTAATTGTTGTTGATCCTAGTTTCTGGCACGCAACGCATGTCAGTACGCAGGGTCTCCAACATGAGTGCGAGTTCAGTCTGTTGATTTATTTGTTTCAGATTGCGCCGCCAGGACAACGGTTGTTGTTACAAATAAGCTACAGTGAATGGTGCGGAAAGATATCAGCAGATGACAACTTCAATGGCATTGCGGCTGATGTCAATGAAGCTGGGAATTCTAGAAGTAAGTTTAGTGATGTGGGTCGGAAGAGGATTAGGAAAAACGGGTGCAAAATAACAGGGAAGGAATCAGCAGTAGCATGTTTTTGCTTATCCACCCCACTGTGTGTCTCGGCTAAAACGACACTTTTAGAGCTGCGCGACGACCAATGCAGGATGTGGTTGAAATTTGATGAATTAACCATGGTTACACTTAGACTGAGATATTGCCAAAGCTCCCAAACCTGGACAGGATTAGGGTCGTCAACCACAGCCTTTGGTTCAAAAAGCCGTCTACGAGACAACGGAGAACTGGCCGTGATTCGGTTTTAGAGAAATGGACGCCATTCCATTTCCAACCCCTAAATTCGAGGTCCAAGGGCTGAGTTCGTCTGGCCTCTAATAATTGACCTAACCGGTAAGAGTATCTCTCAAGGAACCCAAGGGCACCACCCATTAGAGCTCAATGGGCCTAAGAAATGCGAAACCCATCGCATCACGTTAAGGTCCAGTCTCGTTGCGTTTTGTTTTCAATATCCACAATTCGATACTCCTGGGTTAGGGCGCTCCTGTTGTATTCCAGCCCGCGCACAACCACTTGCGGTTGGTTGCGCGGCAATGAAGCAGCAGTACGGAGTTCTGGTTACTTTTGTAGCTGAACCTTTTGCGCATTTTCTCATTTAAACTGTTTACTTATGGTGCCGCTCTGATAATGCGTTACACTCACTTTTCTTCAATTCCCTCAAAGTGACTCAGAATCATTTATCGTTTTTCTTTTTTGACGCGAATCTGTTCTGTGAGTTGAAGCTCAACCTTACTATTTGTTCTGTTTATCCCCCAGCTACTTCAACCAGCCTCTCGCAGGCTGTTGCGCCTCGCAGCGTAGCGTATAATGACCGCGATGACCTCTACGAGCAGCGACATTGTCCCTGTTGGTACTGTGATCAAGGAACGCTGGCGGGTTTGCAAGAAAATTGGAGGCGGTGGATTCGGAGAGATATACGAAGCAGTCGATATGGTCACGCAACAAAAGGTCGCCGTTAAGGTGGAGTCAGCCCAGCAGCCAAAACAAGTTCTCAAAATGGAAGTGGCTGTTTTGAAGCGACTTCAAGGCAGAGCACACACATGTCGCTTTATAGGTTGTGGTCGCAACGAACAGTTCAATTACATTGTGATGAGTTTGCAAGGCAAGAATCTGGCAGACCTGAGACGTTCAACTAGACGTGGTTGTTTTACTATAAGTACAACTGTGCGCCTTGCTCGTCAAATGCTGGTCGCGATAGAGAATATACATAATGTGGGCTTTCTTCATCGGGATATCAAGCCATCCAACTTTGCTTTAGGCACTGGCGTTGGCCCCGGAGCCGTGAATCCTCGACATATTGTGCTCCTCGACTTCGGCTTAGCAAGACAGTACACTACAGCAAATGGTGATATTCGAGCCCCTCGTCAGGTTGCTGGTTTTCGTGGCACTGTGCGATATGCTTCTGTTAATGCACATTTAAATAAAGAACTCGGGCGCCATGACGACTTGTGGTCACTGTATTATATGCTTGGGGAGTTTATTGTTGGAGAATTGCCGTGGCGCAAAATCAAAGACAAAGAACAGGTCGGTCTGATGAAACAAACATTCGACCACAACCAACTATTAAAATTTATGCCGCGCGAGTTCCGATCATTCTTGGAGCATATCCAGAATTTAACGTATTTTGATCGTCCAGACTACATGTATCTGCATTCTTTGCTTAACGCCTACATGGAGCGGCGGAAAATTAATGAATCTGATTTGTTCGATTGGGAAACTGCAACTGACTCCGCTCCTGGTACCGGAGTTAGCGAAACTAACCAGCATCACACAAATATGGCAATCCAACAGGCTGCTCAAGCAGGCGGAAATGTCTCGCAGCCGCCTGCTGAAATTGCAAAGGTGCGAAAGAGCACCGCTGTCTCCGCACTGGGGCACAATCGACCTCATGCTGTTGGGGCGACTGGTGCAGGTCTTGTGGGTTCCAGTGGATATATAAGTGCTGCTAGGTTGGCTGGAAGTAGCTCAAATTTAGCACTCGCTGCTCCGGGTGTCACCACCTCTGTTGGCAACGTTGGGAAATCTTTCGATGGAGGTTCGAACAGTGCGGTTCCTCGCGTCGCGTGCAATTTTACCTACCCTCACCGACTGATGACCGAGGATCTCATCGTTAATCACAATGTGCAGCAACAGCAGAGTAACAATACGCCGAGAAAACTTTACCCAACTTCCGGTCTTCGATGTCATCGTCCGGCCACAACACCCCGTCTGGTGAAAGAAGCTGGAGCTGCTAGGGCCCGCGAAGCCGCCACCAGGGATTGCTTAAAGAATGACAATTTGCAAGTGCCCCATTCCCAGGCTGTCTGTCTTTCTCCATCTAGGGGTGGCAACACAGACTCTGGTGGTCAACCAACGGAGGCGTCTATTCATAATAACCACCGTGTTTTAGATGGTAATCGGCTGCAACCATCATCAACTGGTTGCGCTTCTAATTCTAATAAACGTCGTCCTATTAGCGCCACTGGCTCCCGTTTACGTAACAGCATGGGTGCAATGGGCAGCACAGCCAGCGTCGTTGGTCTAGGTTCTGGCACACGGGGTGACACCAGTTGCACGCATGCAGTTATCGTAATGGTAGATCAAGGTGAGAACAGCAACTACCACGATATGACCAAGGCTGCCCCCCTTACCCTCGCCAGTCATTGGGTGGCTGCTGGAGAAGACGAGTATTCCGAATTGTCCGAAAACGATGTGATCCCTGCATTGGGACAGATGCACGCGAATTCACATTCCAGTCCATCCGAGATCGAACGCGCTGACGTGGAGCATGTTAACCTCACTTCTAACTATAAAAGCGGGATGGAAGACGTTCGTAGACCAAGTGATACGGGACACAGTGTGCCTGATAACAAAGGAACAAAAATCATACCCGAAGTTGGGAACAGCAATAATAACTACTTTTGTGTCCACGATGCCGACGGCCGTCGTCCAACTATTGCTCCAGCGGCGGATACTAACCTTTTCTCCGAAAGCCAGTCTTCCAATGCTAATTCGGCTCAGTCTTCAGGGAGCCCGGTGCATAATTCGACTAACTCCGGTTCTCGTTTAGTACCGTCTCACCGGCTTAACGCCACCAATAAAAGAGAGCGACGTCAAGGTACTGTTGCTTGCTCTGGCGTGGCCCGCAAGTTATCATCTGGCTTTCGCCGACCACACACAAGGCCTGAGTCGAAATTAGTGGTACTCCCTTCCGTTCACTCGAGCAACTTGGAGCATTGTAACGCTCCACGCATTCAACCAAGTTATACTGGCTCACACTGGAATCTGTCGCGTTATGCTACTGAAGACGCTCAGCCGCCGACTCCGTTCGACAAGTTACCCAATAAGCTTTCTCCTAATTCCAACCAAAGAAACGGTCCGACAGATTGTTCCGATAAGTGCGATGCTCATAGCCCTCGACATGAAACCAACGCATGGTGTCACAGGGTATCTGTACCAAGTGATACGAACCATGAAGAGCATGAAGATAATGATGAAAGATCAAGCAATGAGCTTCCCAACGACAGGCCGCTAATCTACCCTCAATTTTCTTCCCGAGGCACCTTAGCAATGGGTGCTCGATTCCCAACTCCTCCTAGGTTATCTCAGCTCGGCAACGTGTGCCAACCCGTCAACGGTGCTTCTCCGTCGCAGGATGATAACCATGGTTTTGATCGTTCTCCTACCCTCCCATTGGCTTATTCCTCATCACCGGTATATATTTTCACTGGTAGAAATGAGCATTTTGGGCCAAACTTGCGGGTCCATTCCGATGAGCAAGAACAAGAAAATGATCTTTTGCCAACTCGTCGAGGTTCAAACTACTTCTCTGTTCATGGCTTTGATGGACCTTGTCGAATGCAGCCTCAGTTTCACCCTCCTCCGCTTCTCAGTTCTGGCCGTGTTGAGCAGTACAGTACTTATCGATCACGTCCCGTCATCCACAAACCGCGAACCAATCGCACCCCGGACCTCTCGCATGTTCAAAAGACAGTGCACGTCAGTCCCGAGCCATTCAACAACCCATCATTTTCAAAATCCGAGCATAATTTGTTTCTTTACGGTGACGACATATCTGGTGGCGAGGATGATTTGTGCTTATCTGTAAAAGAAGATGAGGGATATTTGGTAAGTAACTTATTGTTTTTGAGCATCCATTTATCCTATCTTCTTACAGCACTCGTCAAACCCTTTGCCTGTGCGAGCCCATTAAGAGATTTACTGCCTTCACACTAGTTTCGTTTGGTATTCACCTTTTTTCAGCCTGCGCAGTAGCTGAAGTGTATTGCTCACCTTCAACTACTGTGCCACGACGTAGCAAATCAACCTCTTCTTCACTAATTTCCATGGTTTTTGTTGACTCTATGTCTATTTAATAGACTGTTGCTACTAATGATACTACTATTCCTTGCCATCATGACGAGGCTAGAGCTTAACATGGTGCGATGATTTGCGTACCCCTGTGACCCATTGAGCTACGCTGGGTGCCACTTTCCAAGTGCCTTGGAAGCCGCTCATACTGGACAGGTCAATGGTCAGGGATCAGTCCGACACAATTTCAGCAATCACTTCAGAGGTTAGGAAGGAGTCGAAGTCTCATTTTCTTCAAATATTAATCATGGGAGGCAACAGTTGACGGGTTACAAGCTGCTGTTCGATTAGCGTTGAATACTAGTGACGGTGAGAGAGCACCGCCGGGTGCTCAGTGGTTTGCTACCGTTCGCCTTAAGTCAGACAGACCCTATTCAAAAGGGCTACCGTGGTACATAACATGGTTAGCGGCATCCCGTTTCCGGATTAGCCTGTCACTGCGTCTTCCATAGGACAGCCACAGGACGCCTGCGCCTACAGAGGGATCATGAGTGGTTTGCGCTGCACAACCCACAGCTCCATCCACACACCCCATCTCCGGTGTAATCCCAGAGGAATAAGACCGGAAGGCATGTGAATTGGAGCCACGTTTCCTTGACGAAGGCGGCCCACACTCCTTTAGCATACACAGTAATAACATTCCTGTCTGTCTAATTTGGGACTACGTGAGCAAAATAATTGAACTACCTGGCAGATGAAACCAGGTGAGAAATACAAAACAGAGCAGGTTAAAACTGAACTTTGCAATTCTTTAACAGCTTAGAAACGATAGCTATGTTAATCAAGCCGGTAGGCACGGTTATTCTAAAATTCTATAGACTACCAAAAACAAGCCAAATGTTTCCCTTCGGCCAGTCTTGAACATGAGAAACTTCCCGTATCGCTCGGCGGCTGGTTGCGATTCTTGCTCCTTTCCGAAAGGGGGGGGGTGCTATGCACAGTCTGAGAGCTAGTTTTGAATTCGTCGTCACCGTACGTGATATGAACGTCGGTATCAAAGGTGCCTTCGATTCTCCTGGATCAAATTGCCTTTTGGGACTGCCTGTTCAGGAAAGGTGTGCCCGATAAATAATTTGGGGGTCTTAGTGGACACAAACCCTAACGCTGCCTGAAATCAAAAAATCAACCATAACCCGCTTCCACGAGCATAACAGAAAGGAAAGCGCTCGTCCTATGCTTCATCCATTGAATTTCTGAGATGGCAGCTAGACATTTGATGCCTCACGGGATCAACGTTGCACTTGGAGCAACGGTAACTATTCAGGGTAAACCTTCCAGGGTAATAGACCAACTTAGTAGAGCCGAAACATCAGGTGTGATTTACAAAATTGTGTCAAGTACTACGTGGACCAGACGGGGAGGAAACTTGCTAAACAATTGTATGAACACAGTTTGGCTATTCGCCGCTATGATAAAAAAAATCATTAATGTCAGTACCTATGGATGCCGAAGGCCATCAGTTCGATCTGGGAAACGTCAAGATACTTGGGAGAGCAAAGAACCGCAAAGCGCGTGAGTTCATCGAGGCGTGGCATTCAGGCCAGAACTCAATCAACAAGCACCTAGAACTAGCGGGAGTCAACGAAGTTCTGCAGATGAGGTCAACAATAAGTACCAGATAGAAACGGCATAGACGAGGACACTTGGCGGATCCACGTGAGCCAGTCAAAGACACATTCAATATAGGAGACGATCAATGATCACTTTGATTTGACAGTGACTTACGAGGCCCTATAACCGCACTGATCATGTTGCTTAGCTTGCCAGCGAAACGTCTTCAATAAAGTTGCCTAACTCGGAGAACACAACAGTCCTCTCATCCATACCCTGAGCTGCAGGTATTCTCAATAACTTCTAACACGTTTTGTGCATCGGGGAACTTATTGCTCTACCCTCGTATGTAGACAAACCACAAGTGTTTGCGTCGACATGGACAACAAGTAGCGCTGGGGTAGTGCTCAAGGGGGTATAGTATGATAAATCCCCATGCCTCTTGGTTGACAACAGTGTAAGTGCAAACATGTACAGTAAGACCCGTGGCCAGGTAATCCATCTGCTGATACAAACACTTGTTCTTGCTTGGAAATAGCATACAGTAAGTAGGGGTAATTCCATACCATTTTCAGTCAAGTAACGTTTCAGTAAATGGAAAACAGTTTTGCTCTCTGCGGGAGCTCTCCTTCTTTGGTGACACCGTTTTGCCAGCTTCCTGTTTACATACGGTCATCACCAGGATTTTAGATAGATGTATAAAGCACGAACTATCTAGAGGCCTGTAACTATACTTGTTACACTTAAAGTCCATACTTGTCTTAAAACTCATTATTTTTCCAGCAATTGAGTAATATAGTTTAATTTGTGTATTGTGTTATTAATTGTGTATGTTTAAATTATTTGTCTCATGAGACGATTTTATATTCATGTGTGATAAATTACTAGTATGTTTGCGAAATTACGCACCCAAAATTAAAAGATTGTTTGGCTAAATCCAACTGGTTATGCAGTTTTTTAAACAAACCACCACATCTGACTTACCAAACTCCAAAACAGCTAAAAAAAATCAAAAGTCCAGTTGGCTGCAAATAAACACGTTTGCAAATTGGTTTCAGCTGCTTACTAAAACCCTACCAATCAACGGCATTACGAATAGGCCCGAAAGTGTTTATAACGTTTATAAGAGTGGCTTTCCACTTGACCCTAAGTAATTAAAATTGATTTGTGAAAACCACTTAAATGACATTATGCAGAATTTATAACTGCTCAGGAATGTGCTGAGTAAATGGAACAGTAGTCAGGAAAAACCAAAGAGAAGTTTGTATAAAAATAAAAAAACGTCGTAAGCCTAGAAGTGCTTTAGACAAAAAGAAACCATCCAGTTCATATGATCAAAAAGATACAGTCCAGTTTAACAGAACTGTGGTGGGTGCAATACAAAGGAGGGTTCACAGAAAAACAACATAGAACAGACAGTACGTCCAGTTCGCTAGTTTCGTTCCAATAAGCCAGACACGAAACCTCATACATTTAACGGATAGAGCGAGACGCATATGTACGTCAGACACGTTTTCCGATGAACTAGGTTACATTCAGAGCGTATTCCAGCAAAATGGATATCCGAAAAAGTTCATCCGCCGGCACATGGAAGTACGAACACCAAAAGCGTAACATGTATCCGCTGCAAAGCGGTCCATCTACCTTTCGTTACCATTCATAGGTGACGTTATAGCAGAAAACTCTCAAATGCCACCACTAGAACGTTCCCCTCGGCCGATTGTGAGGCAACAACTTGGGGACAGAGTGCCAAGGTCTGGGTTTTCCTTTTGTGTGTACAACTTGTTCGTATCGAGCAAGATATATTTTGAAAACTACTAGGCGTCTGTCCGAAAGAGAACATTGCCCTTCCTGACTCAACAGTGGCATAAGAAAAACGATAACGAGTGTCGTATTGTCGCATCTGATTGATACAAATTACCGAGTCAGCCCATCTACCGGATACCCGGACACTACACACTAGCTGTCACATTTCGTCTACTGGCTACAGCTGAGGCAATCGATATCCGACTCCAAAACTCGGAGCTATGTGCTCAAAGTAAACTCGTACAGGCCATTCAGCTGCCCTGGCCACATCCCGCCCCGACAATCGTAGTGTTCTTGGACATCCGAGCAGCTTTTGCTCAGTAGATAGATCTGCGTTGTGAAACTGTCTACCAAGGAAAGGTGTGCTCGACAAGTTTTTAACCATCTTGAAGGATCTCTACAATCACACGTCAGACAAAGTCAGGGCTTATGGCACAATTTCCCCTTCGTTTTCTGTCACCAGCGGCGTGCGGCAAGATTACCCCATCTCACTTTTTCCTTTAGTTTTGCCATTGGAGATGTCCAACGAGCATTGGAAGCACCTCAAAACTGCGGTGTTGAGCTTCTCCCAGGTAACAGAGTCGCGGACCTGGATTACATCGATTATATCGCTTTGCTCGGGAACGATACGCAAACCGTCCAGAGCGTTCTGAACCGCTTAGCGTTGGAGGCATCTAAGTATGGCTTGTGTTTCACGCCAGGCAAATGTAAAGTACTACTCCAGGATTAGCAGATGCCTCATCGTTGCTGATAACGTTCTGGAACATGTCCACTGCTTCGCTTATCTAGGGAGTTGCATCACATCTTGCGGCTGTATTGGAGATGAGGTCTTACAACGTATCGCAAAGAGTTGCCTTGCACTCATCAAACTGAGACACTTACGGTGCCGTCGCGACAAAAGTTTCAAACTCAAGGGCATGGTGTACATTGCCTCTGTCCGTGTAGTCCTCTTGTATGGTTGTGAAATCTGGCCGACTCGCTCGGAAGACATTAAATGATTGTCAGATTTCGACAACCCTTGTCTGCGTAGGATCGTCACATGTGGTGGCAGCATCACGTTAGTAACGCAGAAGTCCGAGAGCGAATGTTTGGCGCGGACAGCCCACGCCTCCAAACGATTATTCTCTGGCACATCATGCGTCGGCTCGGTCATGTATTGCGCATGTCGGCCTGTCGCTTTCCCCATCGAGTGTTATTTGCGCTCCCTGAAAGCGATTGAAAAAAGTGCCGCGGTGTACAACCGATGACGTGGAGAAGGAGCATGAAGAATGCATCCTCAAGCTTAGCATCCGTCGGACGGGTCCGCTTTCCAGAACGGGGACCACGCGATTCGGACTGCCAGTGGTTAGAAACGTTGGAGGCTATGGCGCGCAACCGGCATCAGTGGACATTTATGTATG